TTTTTTTTTCTGTTTTATTTTTTTTGAGACAGTCTTGTTCTTTGCCCGGGCTAGAGAACAGTGGCATCATCATAATTCACTGCAGCCCAAACTCCTGGGCTCGAGTGATCCCCCTACCTCAGCCTCCTGAGTAGCTGGGACTATAGGCGCACGCCACCACATCTGGCCAATCTTTCTATTTTTTGTAGAGAGAGGGTCTCGCTGTTGTTCAGGCTGGTCTCAAAATCCTGGCCTGAAGCCATCATCTCGCCTCAGCCTTCAAGAGTGCTAGGATTACAGGCGTGAGCCACTGCGCCTAGCAATGGCTATTTTTCTTATTTCTTCTTTTTCTAATATAGGCTTCACTATTGTCAATAGCATCAACGAAGCTGTAATGCATGGAATAATTGGGGAAGGGCATTTTCTGGAATCTGCTTTGGTACAAACAGTGGTTACTTTGTGTCATTTATATTGAAGCTACTTCCCAATAGTGGAAGCATTGGTTTCAGCTCAGAGCATGGAATCAGTGTATCTGTTTCTTTGCAGTTTTATAATTAGCTGTTTTCTTACCCCAGAAGTTAAGAAAAGCAATTTAATCAGACTTCTGAAATTGCATTTGTTATATATTAATAGTCCTACTAATAACACATTGGGGGTTGGGTACATTTTACTATTTCGAAAAATGTTCAATGCTGTCAAGTTTTATACATTTTTCAGTTCATTACCTTAAAAATTTACAGTTTTATGGAAAACATGGTAAAGTCTCTTTCAGATTTTTCTATCTGAACACATTTTAAGCTCTAAGTACAATGTATTAACTTTTAAATTGTAGCCAAATGTCCCTTGGAACTTTCTGGGGTCACCTTTACAACATACAAACTGGCTTGATTCTCTCAACAATAGCCTGCCCCTTTTTGTCACTTTCAGGTTCTGTGTTTGGAGAGTTCGTTCTTCTGTGACTGCTGCCATTGTGTTTTTCAGCCTCCTGCTCAGCCCCTGTGCTGGATGGAGGGCACCACCGCCAAAGCCTGCTCTATCCTCCTAACTAGAGATTGTCTTTGAGGGATTGTGTACTAGACTTTTACGTAGACTACAGAAAATCTTCAGAATTACTGCTTAAATATGTTGCATGTTATTTATCCAAGAAATTGGTCAGCCGTTCTTTACTTGAGGAACGTTTTTCACCTGGATGTGATTCTTTTGTGGAGTTTCCTCTGTTACTCCTCCCCACTCACCTGCAGCTTGCTGCAGCTGACTTGCACCTCCCCTAAGTCCTGACTTGCACCTCTTTTCGCTTATTCATCTAAAGGCTTTTTCCTGCTGATTTTATTACATTTCTTTTTCTGTGAACAGTGGCAACATGAAGATCTGCTTATCAACAGACCACAAGCCATGTCAGTAACACCTCCCCCTCGGTCTGCTATCCTAACCAGCATGAAAAAGAAACTACATACTCTGAGCCAGATTGAAACTTCGATTGCAACAGTTCAGGTGTGTTTTGTCAGATCTTCCTTCCAGCACATCTTACTTTTAGAAATAACTATGATCGTTAGTGCTTTGTTGTTCAGTATATCTGTGTTTTTCCTTGGCATAATCCCTTTTCATTTATTTTTAATTTATGTTTTTTATTTCTTGCCTTCCGATGTAACTGAATCTTACAGTTACAGTTATATTTTGAACCAGGAGTAGAAACATACTAATTATTCCAGGTTTTTAAATAATTTGATAATTATGTGTTAATACATTAAAGGAAGCTTGGTAATTGAAAAAAACTTGGAATACTTGTTTTCTGAAATGTATACAAGTGGTTATATCTGGTTAATAATAGCTAAGAAGCCTGGGCACTTCTTTCTTTTGTGTAGATAATGGAATTTTGTGATGTCTAAGGCAGCAGAATATTTTTCCAAGCTGTTATTACTGACTGGATTAATAGTAGAGTAAAATTAAGTGTAATTACTTCTGTAATATTTTTAAATTTTGTAATGTACTTTTCTGGAGCTCAGTTCTTTGAAGATTGAAATAAGCTTTCCGTACAGTATATTAGTCATAGAAAAGACATGTTCATAAATTATAAAAATGAAAGAATGAACTCTTGCCCTTTCTTTGTGATTTTGGAGGTATGTGCATGTGAGAATAAGAAGGGGGGTGTAGAGAAAACGTGAATGCCTCCACCAGAAATTTTGAATAAATAATGAAATAGTTTTGTTATATAAAACTTTTCTCGTCATGATAATCTGGATGGATTTTTACCATTATTTATAAATTTAGGGATGTGTGGAAATCTGATTTTTATCTTCCACTATCGAAAGTATAAATGGATTTTTTTATAGATAGCATATATAGCTCAGTAGGAATTTGGTGCAGCAGGTGTTTTGTTTAAAGACCATTTCATTTAAAAATGAAAGTGAAACTTCTGCTGCAAATTTTT